GAATTTAGAATAAAAGCAAATCAGAAGGAGTGACATTATCAAGATGGTCAAATAGGAGTTTTCTACACTCATTTCCCTATGGAACACCAATTTGCACAACCTCCCATGGACAAGGCTACCTTTGTAGAAGGCCAGAAATCCAGCATAGGAACTCCAGCACACTGTTGCAGCAAAACAAAAAAAAATCTGAGAATAAACACATTAAAGATGGCAAGAAAAAAAGTATTACTTTACCTGTGCCACTCCTTCCCTAAAGTAGGACAGTTCAGTAAGAGATCTCATCAGTCCACAATTTCTCCCGTGGGGGAAAGTGAGAGTGTGTTGAATGAGCACTCAAATTCTCAAGCTGAGCAGATGCTGTACAAGAAGTCCACCTCTTTCTTACCATACACAGAAAAGTAAGGGGATCAGTAATGCAAAGTAGCTGGGAGATCCTGAAAGCAGGAAAGTGAGGCAGAGACTCGCAACAATCAGAGTTTGAAATTTAAAGAAGACTGTTTGACTGCGTATCATATTAACCACTCTTAGACACCCATCAGGAAGTCCACCTACATGCCTCTTATGATGCCTTGCCTACGAACCCCAAAATGGCCTACATGCACTCCCAAAACTCTGTGGGCCTCATTTTTTGGCCAACTCCCCATATGTGGCCCCTGTAGAGTAAGTGCAAACAATTGCAAATGACTTATGAGCACACATAGTCAACTAGCTTAACTCTGTGGGATTGAGAGAAAGCACACATGGTTGATTACCTCAGGGCACTGCCCTAAATTTAAAAAAAATATATATTGGAGGCTCTTAGCACTAAGCCTGGCTTTGCACAATGAAGAAAATGCATAAAATCCTAACAATTACCTCCCACAAGATAGCCACAACAAGGGTGAAGAGGGTACATACATAGACAAAGTCTGAGAAGCTTCAGTATTCCTAACCAGGTATTTCTTTCCCAAAGGCAGTCAATAAACATTGAGGAAGTGATGTATTCTTCAAATACAAACAAAGTAATGCAAGGCTTCAAGGAAAATGAAAAGCCAAGAAATACAACACTAGCAAAGGAACACAATAATATTGCAATAACCAGCTCTCCCGAAATTGAGATCTGCACGTTGTCTGACAAATAATTCAAAATAATTGTTTTAAGGAAGCTCAGAGAGTTCAAAGAGAACACAGCTATATGACTCAATGAAATAAGAAGAAACATGTGACACAACTAAAAGTTTAACAAAGAGATAAAAATTACTTTTATTTTTTTCTGGTGCTGAAGGATATAATGAATAAAATAAAAATTCAGTGGAGAGCTTCAACAGCAAACATGTTCAAACAAAAAAAATAATCTAGGAACTCAAAGATAGGTAATTTGTGTGATTTATGTATACCACAAGAAATAATTCAGATTGAGTATCCCTTATTCAAGATGCTTGGAATGAGAAGTTTTTCAGATTTTGATTTTTTTTTCCAAATTTTGAATATTTTCATTATAATTACTGGTTAAGAATCCCTAATCCAAAATATGAAATGCCACAATGAGCATTTCCTTTGCACATCATGTCAGCACTAAAATAAATCTCAGATTTTTGAGGACTTCACATTTCATATTTTCGGCTTTGAAATTCTCTACCTGTAGGGGTATCATGGAAGTCATAGAAGGAGAATAGTAAGAGAAAGCTAATTTAAAGAAATAATTACTGAAAATGTCTCAAACCTTAGGAGAAACAAAAATATCCAGGTACATGTGACTCAAGGGCACCCCAAAAGCTTAAATCTAAAGAGAACTTCACAATGATATAACATGATCAATTTGTCAAAAATGAAGGACAGAGAGAATTTTGAAAGCAGCAAAAGAAAACAGATTTGTCCCATACAAGGAAGCCACAATAAGACTATTAGTAGATTTCCCAGGCCAAGAGAGAGTAGGATGACATAATCAAAATTCTGAAAGGCAAAAAGCTGTTCAGTGAAGAACATTTACTTGTCAAGGCTGTCCTTTGGAAATCAGGTATAAAGACTTTCCCAGAAAAAAAAAAATTGAAGCAATTTACTAGTACTATACCTTCCTTAGAAGAAAATCTAAGAAAAAAAAAGTATTTAGGCTAAAGCCAAAGATGGTAATTAGTAACATGAAAACATATGAAAGTATGAAACTCATCAGTAAAGTTAAGTGTAGAGTCAAAAGCAGAATAATACTCTAGAGGTGACATAGACAACACTTTTTTTTTTTTTTGAGATGGAGTTTCACTTTTGATACCCAGGCTGGAGTGTAATGGCGCGATCTTGGCTCACAGCAACCTCCCTCTCCTGGATTCAGGCAATTCTCCTGCCTCAGCCTCCCGAGTAGCTGGGATTACAGGCTTGAGCCACTGCGCCTGGCCCAACACTTTTAACTCTAATATAAAGATTAAAAGACAAAAGTATTTAAACACAACCAGAGCTATAATAATTTGTTAGAGTAGAAAATACAAAAGAATTAATTAAAATGAGACATCAAAACCATAAAATATGTCTGTGAAAATATAAGCACACAGTTTTGTATTTAGTCAAAATTAAGCTATTATCAACTTAAAACAAACTATTATGTTTTCTGTAAGCCCAGGGCAACCACAAAGCAAAAATCTCATAGAAGATACAATAAGAAAAAAAGAAAGGAATTAAAGCATGTCAATATAAAAAGTCATCAAATTCAGCCAGGTGCAGTGGCTCACGCCTGTAATCCCAGCACTTTGGGAGGCCAAGGAGGGTGGATCACAAGGTCAAGAGATCGAGACCATCCTGGTCAACATGGTGAAACCCCGTCTCTACTAAAAATACAAAAAATTAGCTGGGCATGGTGGCGCGTGCCTGTAATTCAAACTACTCAGGAGGCTGAGGCAGGAGAATTGCCTGAACCCAGGAGGTGGAGGTTGCAGTGAGCCGAGATTGCACCATTGCACTCCAGCCTGGGTAACAAGAGCGAAACTCTGTCTCAAAAAAAAAGTCATCAAATTCCAAAGGAAGAAAATCAAAAGAAAGGAAGAAAAGAGCCTTATGAGAGTCAGAAAACAATTAACACATTGTAATACTAAGTCCTTATCTATAAATAATTAAATGTAAATGGACTAAATTCTCCTATCAAAAGACACAGAATGGGTAAATGAAAATTTGTTTTAACCCCAGACCCAACTATATGCTGCCTACAAGGACACAAATAGGCTGAAAGTGAAGGGATCAGAAAAGATATTCCATGCAAATGAAAACCAAAGAGCAGAAATAGCTATATTTACATCAGTTAAAATAGACTTTAAGACAAAACTGCAACAAAACATAAAGAAAATTATTTAACAACAAAAGGATGAAATTATTGAGACAATATAACAATTTTCAATATATAAGCACTGAACATCAGAGCACTTAAATACATAAAGCAAATACTAACAGATCTAAATGGAGAAGTAGACAGCAATTCAAAAGTAGTAAGGAATTTCAGTAAACCACTTTCAATAATGGACACATCATCAAGACATAAAATCAATAAAAAAAACACTCACTTTAAAGCAAATGGACATAATGATGGACATAGAGAGAACATCAGTTCAACAATAGCAGAATATTTTTTTTCAAGCATACATAAAATATTCTCCAGGATAGGTTGTCTATTAGTTCACAAAACAAGTCTTAGCAAATTTAAGAAAATTAGAGTTATATCAGGTACCTTTTCTAACCATAGTGCTAAGAACCTAGAAAGTTGTAACAGGAGAAAAACTGAAAATTTCAAAAATACAAGGAAATTAAACTGCACACTCTATAAAAAAAAAAACTGTGATTCAAAAAAGAAACCACAAGATAAATCAAAAAAATAACTTGAAACAAATAAAAATAGAAACTTAACATGTCAAAACATATGAGATGCATCAAGAAGAGTTCCAACAGAAAAATTTACATAAGAAGGGAAATCTTAATTAAACACTATTTACCTTAAGGAACTAGTAAAAGAGGAACAAACTAAACCCACAACTAGTAGAAAGAAGGAATTATCACAGATCAGAGTAGAAACAAATGAAATAGATACTAGAAAGCAATAGAAAAAATCAACAAAACTAATAGCTGACTTTTTGAAATGATAAACAAAATCAACATACTTTTAGTTAGAAGAAGAGAGCGTAGACTCAAACATATATAAATGAAAGACTAGACATTATAATGAATACCACACAAATACATGAAACAAGTATAAGAAATATATGAGACAAAATTATAACAGACTACTATGAAGAATAATATGACAACAAAATTACATAACCTAGAAGAAATGGACAAATTCTTAGAAATATACAACCTACCTAGACAGAATCATAAAGAAACAGAAAATCTGAGCAGTCCAATTATAAATAAGGAAATTAAAGCCTAATTTTAAAAAATCGGGCAACACAGAAAAGTCCAGGACCAAATGGCTTCACTGATGACTTTACCAAACATTTAAAAAGGAATACCAATTCTTCTCAATTCCTCCTCAAAAAATTAAGAAAACACTTCCAAACTCCTTTTATAATGTCAGCATTATCCTGACACCAATTCCAGAGAAGGGCACTCCAAGAAAAAAAATTACAGGCCAATATTCCTGATGAATGTTGATGCACAAAACCACACAAAATACTAGCAAACTAAATTCAACAGTACATTAAAGGATCATATTATACAGCATGATCAAGTGTAATGTATCAGGATGCAAGGATGGTTCAAAATATGTAAACTAATAAATGTGATAACACCACAAAAACAAAATGAATAAAAATTTTTTAATTACCTCAATGGACAGAGAAAAGGTATGTGACAAAATTCAACATCTTTTTATGATTAAAAACTCTCAAAAAATTAGGTAGAGATAGAATGATAAAAACTCTAAACAAATCAGGCAGAGATGGAATGCGCCTCAACATGGTAAAGATCCACAACTGATACCATACTCAATAGTAAAAGTTTAAAGTGTTTTTTCTAATACCAGGAACAAGACAAGGATGTTCACTTACCATTTCTATTCAGTATGGTACTGGAGGTCCTGGCCAGAGCAATTATACAGGAAAAAGAATTGAAGAGCATTCACATCCGATGGGCTTGAAAACCTGCCTCAGGCTACCTGCCTCCCAGCTATAGAAAAATAAAGGTGGGGCTTGGTTCTTCGCCTACCTGTGGAGTCTGCACACCGGATTTGTGCCCTCCCCCAAGTTCTGGCCAAGAGGCTTCTCGCCCCGTTCAAACTGTTATGAAGTTCACCTAAAGATTTTCTTCTCCCTGTATAGTTTTACCCTTGTGCCTCTCCTGTTGGATCCCTGTGGTGCCAGGCAAAAAAGACCAGGTAGGAGACCCAGCAAGCTTCCAGGGCCTGCCTTCTGCTTCCTCTACCCCTGTATTTCACTGAGCTCTCCAAATTGACTCAGCTCCAGGTAAAGTTGAAAACTTCTCCCACCAACAGACCTTCAGCTTCTCCATCAAAGGAGTTCAGTAAACCACTTTCAACAATGGATACATCATCCAGACATAAAACCAGTAAGGAAGCATTCACTTTAGAGCAAATGAACATAACCAACAGAGTTCGGGAGAGGAGGGTTTCCCTTTCCCACTTCCACAGTTGGGGCACTCACAGTTTTGAGGGATCTCCCAGGTCCTGCAGGAGCAGTCCACTTCCTTCAGAGGGTCTGTGGGTCCTCTCTGGATTGCTGGTTTGTTCTTGCAGTCAACCTAGAGTGAAAATTAACAGTGCAAGCCCCTGCCTGCTGCTCTGTCCAGAGCTGTGATCTACTCCTGCTTCCCATCCACCACGTGACCTAGGAATCTCACCACCATCCCCCACAGCAGCCACAGCAAGACCTGCCCAAGGAGAGTCTGAGCTTAGACACACCTAGCCTTGCCCTCACCTGATGGTCCTTCCCTACCAACCCTGGTAGCAGAAAACAAAGGGCATATAATCTTGGGAGTTCTAGGGCCCCCCCACTCCACCACCGTCCCTCTACACACAATAGCTGATGCTCTCTGGAAAGTGCCAGCTCTTGGCAGGAGGCCTACCAGCACAAAAAACAGAGCATTAAACCACCAAAGCTAAGAAACCTCACACGGTCTATTGCCATCCCACCCCTGCCACTGGAACAAGCACTGGTATCCGACGTTGAGAGACCCATAGATGGCTCACATTACAGGACTCTAAGCAGACAACTCTAGTATTAACCCTGAGCTGGGTAGACCTGTGGGTATCTACACCCAGAAGAGATACAACAATCACTGCAGTTCAGCTCACAGGAAGCCACATCCATAGAAAAGGGGATAGAATTCTACATCAAAGAAACAGCCCATGGGACAAAAAAAAAATCTGAACAACAGCCTTCAGCCCTAGATTTTCCCTCTGATAGAGCCTACCCAAATGAGAAGGAACCAGAAAGCCCACCCTGGTAATATGACCAAGCAAGGCTCTTCAACACCACCCCCCCAAAAAAATAAATCACACTAGTTCACCAGCAATGGATCCAAACCAAAAAGAAATCCTTAGTTTACCTGAAAAGAAATAAGGAGGTTAGTTATTAAGCTAATCAGGGAGGGAGCAGAGAAAGGTGAAGCCCAATTCAAAGAAATCCAAAATATGATACAAGTAGTGAAGGGAGAAATATTCAAGGAAATAGATGGCTTAAAGGAAAAACAAAAAATTCTGGAAACTTTGAACACACTTTTATAAATGTGAAATGCTTTGGAAAGTCTCAGCAATAAAACTGAACAAGCAGAAGAAAGAAATTCAGAGCTCGAAAACAAGGTCTTTGAATTAACACAATCCAACAAAGACAAAGAAAAAAAAAATAAGAAAATACGAACAAAGCCTCCAAGAAGTCTGGGATTATATTAAACAACCAAATCTAAAAATAACCGGAGTTCCTGAGGAAGAAGATAATACTAAAATCTTGGAAAACTTATTTGAGGAAATAATGGAGGAAAACTTCCCTGGCCTTGCTAGAGACCCAGGCATCCAAATACAAGAAGCTCAAAGAACACCTAGGAAATTTATCGTGAAAAGATCTTTGCCTAGGCACACTGTCATCAGTTTATCCAAAGTTAAGACAAAGGAAGGAATCTTAAAAGCTGCAAGACAGAAGCACCAGGTAACCTATAAAAGAAACCTATCAAATGAACAGCAGATTTCTCAGGAGAAACCCTGCAAGCTAGAAGGGATTGGAGCCCTACCTTCAGCCTCCTCAAACAAAACAATTATCAGCCAAGAATTTAGTATCCAGTGAAACTAAGCCTCATATATGAAGGATAAATACAGTTTCAGACAAACACACACTGAGAGAATTCGCCATTGCCAAGCCACCTCTACAAGAAGTGCTGAAAGGAGCTCTAAATCTTGAAGCAAATCCTGGAAACACATCAAAACAGAACCTCTTTAGAGCATAAATAACACAGGACCCATAAAACAAAAACAGAAGTTAAAAAGCAAAAACAAAAAACCAAAAGTACACAGGCAACAAATAGCATGATGAATGCAACGGTATCTCACATCTCAATACCAACATTGAATGTAAGTGGCCTAATTGCTCCATCTAAAAGATACAGAACCACAGAATGATTAAGAACTCAACAACCAACTATCTGCTCCCTTTAGGAGACTCACCTAACACATAAGAACTCACATAAACAAAGTAAAGAAGTGGAAAAAGGCATTTTATCCAAATGGACACCAGAGGCGAGCAGGGGTAACTATTCTTACATCAGACAAAACTTTAAAACAACGGTAGTTAAAAAGACAAAGAGGGACATTCTATAATGGTAAAAGGCTTTGTCCAACAGGAAAATATCACAATTTAAACATATATGCACCTAACACTGGAGCTCCCAAATTGATAAAACAATTACTAATAGACCTAAGAAATGAGACAGACAGCAATACAATAATAGTGGGGCACTTCAATAATCTACTGATAGCACTAGATGAGCTCATCAAGACAGAAAGTCAACAAAGAAACAGTGAATTTAAACTGTACCTTGGAATAAATGGACTTAACAGATATATACAGAACATGTCATCCAACAACTGCAGAATACACACTCTATTCAACAGTGCATGGCACTTTCTCCAAGACAGACCATACAATAGGCCATAAAATGAGCCTGAATAAATTTAAAAAATTAAAATTATATCAAACACTCTCCCAGACCACAGTGGAATAAAACTGGAAATCAACTCCAAAAGGAATTTTCAAAACTATGCAAATACAGGGAAATTAAATAACCTGCTCCTGAATGATCATTGGGTCAAAAACAAAATAAAGGTGGAAATTATTCTTTGAACTGAACGACAATAATGACACAACCTATCAAAACCCCCGAGATGCAGCAAAGGCAGGGTACAGAGGAGAGTTCATAGCCCTAAACACTATAGCAAGAAGACTGAAAGAGCACAAACTGATGCTCTAAGGTCACACCAAAAGGAATTACAGAAACGGGAAGAAACCAAACCCAAACCTCACAGAAGAAAGGAAATAACTAAGATCAGAGCAGAACTATATGAAATTGAAACCAAAAAAGAGAGAAAATCCAAATAACCTCACTAAGAAATGAAAGAGATATTACAACTGACACCACCAAAATACAAAAGATCATTCAATGCTACTATGAACACCTTTACACACATAGACTAGAAAACCTAGAAGAGATGGATACATTCCTGGGAAAATTCTTCCTATCTCAAATCAGGAAGAATTAGATATCCTGAAAAGACCAATAAGAAGCATCAAGATTGAAATGGTAATTTAAAAGTCACCAACAAAAAACTTCCAGGATCAGATGGATTCATGGCAGAATTCTATCAGACATTCAAAGAATGGTAACCAATCCTTTTGACACTATTCCACAAGGCAGACAAACGAACCCTCCCTAATTCATTCTATGAAGCCAGCATCACCCTAATACCAAAACCAGGAAAGGATGCAATTAAAAAGGAAAACTACAGACCAAAACCTTGATGAGCATAGATGCTAAAATACTTAACAAAATACTAAGTAACCAAATCCAACAACGTATCAAAAAGATAATCCACCCTGATCAAGTGTATTTTATAGGAGGGATGCAGGGATGGTTTATCATACATAAGTTAATAAATGTGACCTACCACATAAACTGAATTAAAAGCAAAAATCACATGATCATCTCAACAGATGCAGGAAAAGCATTTGACAAAATCCAGCGTCCCTTTATGATTAAAACTCTCAGCAAAATTGTCATAAGGGACATACCTTAATATAATAAAAGCCATCTATGACAAACCCACAGCCAGCATAACACTGAATGGGGAATGTTGAAAGCATTTCCTCTGAGAACTGGAATAAGACAAGGATGTCACTCTCAACACTCCTCTTCAACATAGTACTGGAAGTCTTAGCCAGAGCACTCAGCAAGAGAAAGAACTAAAATGCTGGGAGAATTGGCTAGCCACAAGTAGGAAAATAAAACTGGATCCGCATCTCTCATCTTATACAAAAACCAACTCAAGATGGATTAAGGACTTAAACCTAAGACCTGAAACTGTAAAAATTCTAGAAGAGAACATTGGAAAAACCCTTCTAGACAAGGGACTTAGGCAAGGATTTCATGACCAAGAACCCAAGCAAATGCAATAAAAACAAAGATAAACTGCTGGAACCTAATTAAACTAAAGAGCTAAAGGAGCAGTTAGCAAAGTAAACAGACAACCCACAGAGTGACACAAAATCTTCACAATCTATACATCTGACAAAGGACTAATATCCAAAATCAACAACAAACTCAAACAAATTAGTAAGAAAAAAAATTAAACAATCCCATCAAAAAGTGGCCTAAAATATGAACAGACAGTTCTCAAAAGAAGATATACAAATGGCCAACCAACATATGAAAAATGCTTAGCATCACTAATGATCAGGGAAAGGCAAATCAAAACCATAGTGCTGTACCACCTCACTTCTGCAAGAATGACCATAATCAAAAAATGAAAAAACGGTAGATGTTGGCATGGATGCAGTGAACAGGGAACACTTCTACACTGCTGGTGAGAATGTAAACTAGTACAGCCACTACAGAAAACAGTGTGCAGATACCATAAAGAACTAAAAGCAGAACTGCTATTGGATCCAGCAATCCCACTACTAGGTATCTACCCAGAGGAAAAGAAGTCATTATTTGGGGAAAAAAAAACCTTACATATGCATGTTTATAGCAATGCAATTCACAATTGCAAAATTGTGGAACCAACCTAAATGCCCATCAGTCAATGAATGGATAGAAACTAATATATATATGATGGAATACTATGCAGCCATTAAAAGGAACATCAGTGGCCTGGATGAGCTTGGAGAGTATTATTCTAAGCGAAGTAACTCAGGAATGGAAAACGAAACATCGTATGTTCTCACTGATATATGGGGGCTAAGCTATGAGGATGCCAAGGCATATGAATAATGCAATGGATTTTTAGGACTTGGGGAAAAGAGTGGGAGGGGGCAAGGGATAGAAAACTACACATATGGTGCAGTGTACAGTTTGGGTGATGGGTGAACCTAAATCTCACAAATCACCACTAAAGAACTTACTCATGTAACCAAACACCACCTGTACTCGAATAACTTATGGAAAAATAAATTTTAAAACTCAGATGGGAAGTAATAACTTTTTTTTTAGGATGACACGAACTTCTATATTGAAAACCCTATAAAGACCACCAA